TAATATTCATGGTTATTTCAGCAACAATAATGTAAATTACTTGTTGTTACCTTGATTAATATTCATGGTTATTTCAGCAACAATAATGTAAATTACTTGTTGTTACCTTGATTAATATTCATGGTTATTTCAGCAACAATAATGTAAATTACTTGTTGTTACCTTGATTAATATTCATGGTTATTTCAGCCACAATAATGTAAATTACTTGTTGTTACCTTGATTAATATTCATGGTTATTTCAGCAACAATAATGTAAATTACTTGTTGTTACCTTGATTAATATTCATGGTTATTTCAGCCACAATAATGTAAATTACTTATTGTTACCTTGATTAATATTCATGGTTATTTCAGCCACAATAATGTAAATTACTTGTTGTTACCTTGATTAATATTCATGGTTATTTCAGCAACAATAATGTAAATTACTTGTTGTTACCTTGATTAATATTCATGGTTATTTCAGCAACAAAAATGTAAATTACTTGTTGTTACCTTGATTAATATTCATGGTTATTTCAGCAACAATAATGTAAATTACTTGTTGTTACCTTGATTAATATTCATGGTTATTTCAGCTACAATAATGTAAATTACTTGTTGTTACCTTGATTAATATTCATGGTTATTTCAGCCACAATAATGTAAATTACTTGTTGTTACCTTGATTAATATTCATGGTTATTTCAGCAACAATAATGTAAATTACTTGTTGTTACCTTGATTAATATTCATGGTTATTTCAGCCACAATAATGTAAATTACTTGTTGTTACCTTGATTAATATTCATGGTTATTTCAGCAACAATAATGTAAATTACTTGTTGTTACCTTGATTAATATTCATGGTTATTTCAGCAACAAAAATGTAAATTACTTGTTGTTACCTTGATTAATATTCATGGTTATTTCAGCAACAATAATGTAAATTACTTGTTGTTACCTTGATTAATATTCATGGTTATTTCAGCTACAATAATGTAAATTACTTATTGTTATCTTGATTAATATTCATGGTTATTTCAGCAACAATAATGTAAATTACTTGTTGTTACCTTGATTAATATTCATGGTTATTTCAGTCACAATAATGTAAATTACTTGTTGTTACCTTGATTAATATTCATGGTTATTTCAGCAACAATAATGTAGATTACTTGTTGTTACCTTGATTAATATTCATGGTTATTTCAGCCACAATAATGTAAATTACTTGTTGTTACCTTGATTAATATTCATGGTTATTTCAGCAACAATAATGTAGATTACTTGTTGTTACCTTGATTAATATTCATGGTTATTTCAGCCACAATAATGTAAACTACTTGTTGTTACCTTGATTAATATTCATGGTTATTTCAGCAACAATAATGTAAATTACTTGTTGTTACCTTGATTAATATTCATGGTTATTTCAGCAACAATAATGTAAATTACTTGTTGTTACCTTGATTAATATTCATGGTTATTTCAGCCACAATAATGTAAATTACTTGTTGTTACCTTGATTAATATTCATGGTTATTTCAGCAACAATAATGTAAATTACTTGTTGTTACCTTGATTAATATTCATGGTTATTTCAGCAACAATAATGTAAATTACTTGTTGTTACCTTGATTAATATTCATGGTTATTTCAGCAACAATAATGTAAATTACTTGTTGTTACCTTGATTAATATTCATGGTTATTTCAGCAACAATAATGTAAATTACTTGTTGTTACCTTGATTAATATTCATGGTTATTTCAGCCACAATAATGTAAATTACTTGTTGTTACCTTGATTAATATTCATGGTTATTTCAGCAACAATAATGTAAATTACTTGTTGTTACCTTGATTAATATTCATGGTTATTTCAGCCACAATAATGTAAATTACTTATTGTTACCTTGATTAATATTCATGGTTATTTCAGCCACAATAATGTAAATTACTTGTTGTTACCTTGATTAATATTCATGGTTATTTCAGCAACAATAATGTAAATTACTTGTTGTTACCTTGATTAATATTCATGGTTATTTCAGCAACAAAAATGTAAATTACTTGTTGTTACCTTGATTAATATTCATGGTTATTTCAGCAACAATAATGTAAATTACTTGTTGTTACCTTGATTAATATTCATGGTTATTTCAGCTACAATAATGTAAATTACTTGTTGTTACCTTGATTAATATTCATGGTTATTTCAGCCACAATAATGTAAATTACTTGTTGTTACCTTGATTAATATTCATGGTTATTTCAGCAACAATAATGTAAATTACTTGTTGTTACCTTGATTAATATTCATGGTTATTTCAGCCACAATAATGTAAATTACTTGTTGTTACCTTGATTAATATTCATGGTTATTTCAGCAACAATAATGTAAATTACTTGTTGTTACCTTGATTAATATTCATGGTTATTTCAGCAACAAAAATGTAAATTACTTGTTGTTACCTTGATTAATATTCATGGTTATTTCAGCAACAATAATGTAAATTACTTGTTGTTACCTTGATTAATATTCATGGTTATTTCAGCTACAATAATGTAAATTACTTATTGTTATCTTGATTAATATTCATGGTTATTTCAGCAACAATAATGTAAATTACTTGTTGTTACCTTGATTAATATTCATGGTTATTTCAGTCACAATAATGTAAATTACTTGTTGTTACCTTGATTAATATTCATGGTTATTTCAGCAACAATAATGTAGATTACTTGTTGTTACCTTGATTAATATTCATGGTTATTTCAGCCACAATAATGTAAATTACTTGTTGTTACCTTGATTAATATTCATGGTTATTTCAGCAACAATAATGTAAATTACTTGTTGTTACCTTGATTAATATTCATGGTTATTTCAGCAACAATAATGTAGATTACTTGTTGTTACCTTGATTAATATTCATGGTTATTTCAGCCACAATAATGTAAACTACTTGTTGTTACCTTGATTAATATTCATGGTTATTTCAGCAACAATAATGTAAATTACTTGTTGTTACCTTGATTAATATTCATGGTTATTTCAGCAACAATAATGTAAATTACTTGTTGTTACCTTGATTAATATTCATGGTTATTTCAGCCACAATAATGTAAATTACTTGTTGTTACCTTGATTAATATTCATGGTTATTTCAGCAACAATAATGTAAATTACTTGTTGTTACCTTGATTAATATTCATGGTTATTTCAGCAACAATAATGTAAATTACTTGTTGTTACCTTGATTAATATTCATGGTTATTTCAGCAACAATAATGTAAATTACTTGTTGTTACCTTGATTAATATTCATGGTTATTTCAGCAACAATAATGTAGATTACTTGTTGTTACCTTGATTAATATTCATGGTTATTTCAGCCACAATAATGTAAATTACTTGTTGTTACCTTGATTAATATTCATGGTTATTTCAGCAACAATAATGTAGATTACTTGTTGTTACCTTGATTAATATTCATGGTTATTTTAGCCACAATAATGTAAATTACTTGTTGTTACCTTGATTAATATTCATGGTTATTTCAGCAACAATAATGTAAATTACTTGTTGTTACCTTGATTAATATTCATGGTTATTTCAGCAACAATAATGTAAATTACTTGTTGTTACCTTGATTAATATTCATGGTTATTTCAGCCACAATAATGTAAATTACTTTTTGTTACCTTGATTAATATTCATGGTTATTTCAGCCACAATAATGTAAATTACTTGTTGTTACCTTGATTAATATTCATGGTTATTTCAGCCACAATAATGTAAATTACTTGTTGTTACCTTGCTTAATATTCATGGTTATTTCAGCAACAATAATGTAAATTACTTGTTGTTACCTTGATTAATATTCATGGTTATTTCAGCAACAATAATGTAAATTACTTGTTGTTACCTTGATTAATATTCATGGTTATTTCAGCAACAATAATGTAAATTACTTGTTGTTACCTTGATTAATATTCATGGTTATTTCAGCAACAATAATGTAAATTACTTGTTGTTACCTTGATTAATATTCATGGTTATTTCAGCAACAATTATGTAAATTACTTGTTGTTACCTTGATTAATATTCATGGTTATTTCAGCAACAATAATGTAAATTACTTGTTGTTACCTTGATTAATATTCATGGTTATTTCAGCAACAATAATGTAAATTACTTGTTGTTACCTTGATTAATATTCATGGTTATTTCAGCAACAATAATGTAAATTACTTGTTGTTACCTTGATTAATATTCATGGTTATTTCAGCAACAATAATGTAAATTACTTGTTGTTACCTTGATTAATATTCATGGTTATTTCAGCAACAATAATGTAAATTACTTGTTGTTACCTTGATTAATATTCATGGTTATTTCAGCCACAATAATGTAAATTACTTGTTGTTACCTTGCTTAATATTCATGGTTATTTCAGCCACAATAATGTAAATTACTTGTTGTTACCTTGCTTAATATTCATGGTTATTTCAGCCACAATAATGTAAATTACTTGTTGTTACCTTGATTAATATTCATGGTTATTTCAGCCACAATAATGTAAATTACTTATTGTTACCTTGATTAATATTCATGGTTATTTCAGCAACAATAATGTAAATTACTTGTTGTTACCTTGATTAATATTCATGGTTATTTCAGCAACAATAATGTAAATTACTTGTTGTTACCTTGATTAATATTCATGGTTATTTCAGCACAATAATGTAAATTACTTGTTGTTACCTTGCCCGGTTCCCTCCAAAATCTGGGTTGATCATAATTGGGGCGGATGATGTAGTCACGAGATCTCCCTTATTTTGATAGTGAATCACAATATAAACGATAAGATAAAGTTGTTAACAATTTATTTAAGTTATCAATATTTGCATTCTATTCACATAATATACATATTTACATAATCTGATAGAAACGATCTGTCATAATAAAAATGTCAACTCAATATAAAAGTTATTGGGTGCTTCATGGTCTTTTGTATCAATCCAACGAAAACTTCTCTTCTGATCTCTATACTTCTTTATAGCTTACACTCATATTATTTTACACAAACCACTAGAAATTCTGTGATCAGGGGTGTGATCCCCCCCGGCCCGCCCCCTGCTTCCTACACCCCTGACTGTGATCTCTAAGGTTTTAAAACCATAATGGTCTATTCTTGCTCAGACAGTTGATTATTTTGGCTGTAGAAAAGTTGTGAATTCATCCAAAGCACCGGCAAGTTTAGATAATTTAGCGTCATTTTCCTTCTTCATTTGCTGTGACTGATGAATTATAAGTCTCATCTCCTGCTCCAATGTCGCTACTTCTTCTTTGTAACTCTTCTCTCTTAGAACTGAGCTCTGCGCGTTCTTCTCTGCGTCTTCCTCCTGAAATAATATGTACAGTATACAGTTACTGTTACAGTTACATAAATCATGAATTAGAAAATTAATCACAAACATGCGTATACAATTATATTGATATCCAATAACCATATTATGGTGAGTAGTGAGCTACCTGTCGCTTCAGTTCCAGCTCATGTTTATCCTCCAACACTTTGATCTCCTCCTCTAACCTTGTTATCTTCTCCTTCTCCTCCTCAATACTCCTCCTCCACCTCCCCTCCTGCTCGGTGTGGCGCTCCTTCATCTCCTCTGTTGCTCTGACAGGTAATATTATGTCATGTTAAACATTACGTCAATATTTCTGACACATAATGGCACAATCTTACTGAATAGTTAACGATTATCGTGCCCCCTGCGGCCGGCCCCCCTTATGATAATGTGCCCCCTACCCCCCCCCCTCTCATTATTATGTGCCCCCCTGCCCTCATGATTATGTGTGCGGTATTATTTTAGGCTGTAACCTTTTTAGTCCAATGGAATAAACCTAGCATGCCTTGGTTGCAGCATCGCTTCACTTATAAGTGCATATAGAGATATAGGGCCCGATGTAATTGCTATGAACAGTTTACTGGTCAACTGGTGTTTCGGTGTCCCTAATTTTGTTTACACTCGGTCACTTGTCAAGGCATGAAAGGTCATTCGGCGAATTTTCTTTGAAATAAAATGATGTATTGTAAACATTTTGAAAGTTTATTGATTAAAAAAGATTATCTTCACGGTATGATAACTTACTTCTCCACAGTTTCAAAGACAGTTATCTTGTCTTCCCATTGCTGTTTTAAGTCTTTGTACTTTCTTTTAACTCGATCACTCTAAAATAAAGTACAATTAAGTGAGAATGTTTTTACATAATGTTTTCCATGTTTTTGCCTCACAGGGGATATTGTGGTATTTTCTAAATATAACTAATAACTGTAATACATTGATGTAAAGTTTATTTGAATTTTGAAATTAAAAAAATGTCATTGGTTTGAGTTAGAGGGCGTTAAGTAAAAACTAACCCTCCCCTGTAAACCGGAATTTCTAAAAAACCCTTCCCCCCCTTCTCCCCCCTGAAAAACATGCAGAGCCCCGCCTCGAACTAATGTCAAATTATTATTATTCTAGAGTGTAAAAAAGGAAAGTTTTGATAACGTATCAACGACCATCCCCCCCCCCCCCCCCCCCCCCCCCCACCCCCCCCACCCCCACCCCCCCCCCCCCCCGTAAATCAACCGTAAGCAATTGTAAACCCCCCTCCCCCCTCGGCTGAATACTTAATATTGTGAACCGACCCCTAGGAGTGGAAAGCAGACAAATAATCCCATCGAAGAAGAAAAACATTCCCAAATTCTCCTTAGATAATCCAAGATGTCCCAGTAATATTTTTCAATTAAATCCCCAAGTGTAATAAGCCCAATGTTTTTCTTACCCTCCTACCATTCTGTCTGGGCTAGGTTGTATACCATCGTCAAATCTCAGACCTAACTCACATGGACGCTCCATCGATAATAGAACCAGACGAAGGAATAACTATTTTAAAGCTGAGCAGAGAATCTTTTGAAGAAGTTAAATATTTTAAAGATCAAAAGATAAAAAGTTTTATTTTTTCAAGGTCATACTAGACAAAGCGGTCTGTAGTTTCAACAACAAAAAAAAAACATCCATAATCGTAACTCGGATATCTTACTTTATAAGGAAACAATACTTTTGTCCAACGGCTCTCGACAAAGCTGTTGCAGGGATTGGAATCCATCATGCCAGTTACTGGTACTTTTGGGCTCTTTGGTAGCAACTTCACAGTCAGGTCATTTAATCTGACGAAAATTACCATAAGAATATTAATAAGGTGTATACATCTCATCAGTCATGCTGCTCTAAGATTTCACTGCGATCAACAAACAGGCCGAGCAAAAAATGTTAAAATGATGTTTAAAAAGTTGTGAAGTTGTACACAGTGTACGAACCTTTGAATTGACCATACGTCCGGAATTTCCTCCTGGACACCAAATCGCGGCGAGTCTTGCCAACAAATCCCCACCTTAGTAAGAGACATGATGTCCATGATACATTAGTTTGAAATTTAATATTAGCAGTGTCCCCTACAAGTAACTATTTATAAAAATAGGAACTGTACTTACAGTTCTCTTTATATAATCATTTAAATAAATTGGCAGACCACTATTGTATGAAGTAACTCCGAACAGTGAAAACATCCCATATCATCTAAACATATATACATTTCGTACACAACAATACAGATCAAAAGCGAACCGAAAAGCTCACATCATAATAACTTTATAAAACTAATGCGTAAAACCTTCACTAAATGGATGGTAGTATATTATATTCATCGGAAATTATCAAGAATTTTAACAAACAATGTATATTGTAAAACAAGGTAAACGCTCCAGCAATGAGCCTAGTCAGTTAACCTTATAAAATTTTAATCAAACCAGGCCAAGGAATGTATAAAACCCAAAGAAAAAATAAAATCATACATTTTAAAGGTCAGTCCTTTCAAGCTAAAGATACTTGAATGACCAAATCAATCTGGAAGCCCGTTTGGGTGCCTTCATATAAACCAACCAAGGGGGTAAGCAGAGTCTCTCATAGTCCTTTAGTAATGCCTGTGCCTGAAAAAAAACCAATTACAATCGATAATTTTTGCCGCTAGCGTGGAGGGCGTGAGCAACATGCGAGCGAGACAACAAACTTCAATAAACAGAGCCCAAAAACACAAAAGGCCTTCTCTCTATAGATTAGTATGTCAATAAGTAAACAGAAAGTAAACAAAGAGAGTAAATCGTAACTTACTCGGAATACTCCCATGAACGTGAGTTTGAGGAGGTGCCGTCCCCCTGCTCTCCATGGTCTAGCAGCTAAAGTTGCTCCTATCTCGATTCAAAACCGCGACTCTCCATGCCAGACCCGCGAGAAATGTCCTGGAATCCGACTGTCAAATACAAAAGAGTTATTTTAAATGCTCACTTTCAAAAAATGTTGAAAGGAAATCAATTAAAAAACTTTTATATGCAGGATCAACTTAAAACTGATAAACTTAAATTGAGAGTTAACAGTGTTCAATCAAATGAAAATTTTTGTTTTAAAACCCTGCACTGTTGTCATCATCACAAATGACGAAAGCATAGGCACCCCACTGGTATGACACGTAAGAGATCTTTGGAGTGAGTTACTGAACTTTATTACGTAAACCAATATTAGGACAATCCCTCGCAATCATTCTAAAAAACGGTGATCCCAAGAGGCGTTCTGGTTGTACAAATTGGAGTTCACAGTTCCATGGATATCGTATCAATGAGAGATCGATGTGATGTGATTCTCATTCGGGCTTATCACATGATATTTCCATTTCTTTGCAACGGATACAATAAACCAATCTACCCATCGACAGATTATGAAACGTTACGTGAAAGTAGTGCTTAAAAAGCACATTGTGCGAGCCTTTGGACACAATTTTGTCATTGCGCCCAACATCTTTGTTCTTTAAAAACCGTCCATTTTTACAGCCACGAATTTATTTTTTTTCTATTCAATGGAATCAGAGTTTTCTTGTACTAAAAAATATCTTTTAAGAGTTTAAACAATGAATTCAACAAGCTTTATCTGGGATTCTGATCTTGGAAGCAGCGTTTATTTATCAACTACACAAGTCGTCCAGAGTCCAAAAAGTTTGGGCACAACGATGCGTTGCACGAAATCAGATTGTGAACAACACAGAGAATTGAGTCGATTGAATCATACCTCGTTACAAATTTTAGATACATTCAAATGAACGATAAGGTAGTCTGCACCCATTAGGTTCACAAACAATGTGTTACAGTACATAGTACCGGTGTAGAAGTGCAGTTAGCGCGGAGCCCAGCGGCGCTGGAGCGCACCTGGACTGTTACCATCCATTCCCATGCTCTCCAAGACCATGGTCCTATTTACCGCCTCCTGATAAATTTAAGTTAAGTTAACATGTGTTAAACTGCTCGGTCAAACATACTACTTGAAGTTTGGCCTGTAGCTGTTTTTCTTACATGTCGTTCCATTGAATAGTACCGCTTTAGTTCCGTACCTATTGAATGGTGTTAATAAACAATTCCGGACATATTCATTGCCCAGTTACTATAATGAAAAACAACAAAGAATTATATACAAATTACAAGAATGGACAAGACAAGTAAAACCTGAACAGAGAGAAAACAGCAAGCTGTTCATGTAGTCATCAGTTAAACTTCTTCCTCTCACCCGAGTAGCTGGTCGTTCCAGACTTTCAATGATCTGAAAAGTGAAGTGATTTATTCACTGCATACCACCAGACAACATTATAATTGTTACATCTCTCTATGATAAATATTTAAGGCCCGTCTGAATTAAATCAACGAAAGCAAGGGCTAGTAATATAGTAATATGGGTAATAACTACAGGCCTATTTGATTAACAGTTTGTGGTTTCCCACAAAAAATTCCTGTACGATGAAAAATAACCTGCTGAATTTTCTTCCAGTAAGTAGAGAGCTATCACATTGTCGTTCGTGTTCAGATTTAAAAAGCATCGATCCTTCTCTACCTGAACCTTCATATACATTCTCTGAGACCTAAAAATAAATTATGTCTTGAGAAAGTTAATTATCACAACGTTTTTCGACTCCCCGAATTATATTCAGCTTTGCTGAACACATAATTTCTTGGCAACCAAAAAAAAATCCCCCCCCCCCTTGTCTCCAAATCTCAATTATCAAAGAATGACATGTAATGAGAGAAGCAGGTCCACTTACCTCTCACTATGGCTAGAGTAATCTGTTTCCACTTTGGTCTTCATCCTTTCGAGTACACGGTCTTTCTCATAAAGTATGGTCTCGGAGATCCCTTGCTGCTGCAGCTGCCTGTTCTATTTTCGAGCCGCTGTTCGTTAGCATTCTGAAGATGGATTATGGGGTAATAAAGTAGTGGGTTGGCAGTTGAACCTAATCTATCGAATCTAATCACATTAACGTGCAAATCTAATAGAGACGCATTACAAACAATAGTTTTTGTTAGTGTTAGTAAAGGTCATGAAATTCTGGCAAATATAACAGAAAATATTTGACCCTTGTCCCCGTCGCTGAAGGATCTACGCGTTATTCTTCTGTTTTCAGTTCACCCTCTTGCAGGGGTGGGGGGGTGGGGGGGGACATCCTCCTTCGGTACTCCATTTATTTGCCTTAATTGTGTTCACCTGAAAAAATTAAACCTTGCATTTTCGAATTCCAAACTAGACACATCGCCAATAAATATAAGCCGTGTCCATGATATTAATCACAATACTTGTAAGCCAAGGGACTTCCAAAATGCAGGTATTCAACAAGTAAGACCAACCTTAAGACTTGCTCTCGCGGGAGTCTCGAGAGCAGCTTCATAAGATTGTTGCTTTAGTATCAGACATGTTCTATCTCATTCACTCTCTTCTCTACTTCCTTCCACTTCCTGAACCATCTGAGAAATATGATTGCATTACGTTTCCCTCACCATGTCACTGGATAGTGGATACGCACTGAGTCGCGTCGTGGTCAAACCAAAAGCACTAAAAGCAATGAAACCATTATAAAAACACATAAAAATGTATTAATCCCTATTAGGAAGTTTACTTAAACGAAAATGTGAGATAAAGTAGCAAGTAACCTGAATCGTGAGGAAAGGTATCTACACGTTTCTTCTGGCCGACTGCCATGTACCGAGGCAGCAAAACAGTTGCCTTGTCGTGCTGAGTTTAACCACGTGGCAAGTTGTTAGATACAGCGAGGTTGCTACTGGTAACACTACCCTACACGATTGTTGAGACGCTGTCCTCAAGCTCGCAGACATCTTCATATTCAGCCATCACATTATTGAGATGGGGTAATGGAGAGGAAGATTGATTCCAGCGAGTAGTTTCCACCAGCTCTTGGGAGGAATCTTTAAGGTCACGTTATATTCCTTCGCTGTTTTCTTTAAATAAAATTGATTACAATAAGGCATCACTGCAAAACTGAAAGTCATGAATAATGGGTAGAAATAAGTAATAACAAAACACCTTAACAACTAATCAAACAATAATCCAGAGCTTTAATTGAGTAATGAACTTGCAATGAAACAAACAATGAGTCGTATAAAACGATAAATAATGGCAACTGACTCTAATAATGAATCCATAAATCCAATAAACAATACTTAACTTAATGTACATTGAACCGATCCCACAAAACAATGAAATTTAAGTTATATAAGTAATAAGTTTTAATGAAAGCTCCATAAATTCCTGTTTCACCCAGCAAATGAAAATTATTGACACTTGCCTAGAGATTTGAATTCGAATAAAGTACGTCCGTAATATTATTTAAAGCAATTTAAAAACTCTTCTGTATAGAGCATCTTTTCATTTCCGATTTAGCCGATTCATTGTACGGAATTGCCATATATGTAAGGCCGAATTATAAATGTTAGACTAAACTATAACAACACCAATGATTAACAAATTAGGTTTAAAATAATTTACAGCCCTTACATTTATATCTAGAAAAGTTTTATACAATACTATTTACCCTTTAAAAAATCTAAAGACTTAAATGAATAAAACGAGAATCTGCAAATAAAATAAATTACCATGCGCTAAATCTGAATTAATTTGATTCAATATGAAATCTGAGTAAAGTAGATGATATCTCCAATTCTGAAGTATTTAGATAAGCTCTTATCTAGAACAGTCTATAAGTGGGAAGATCTAGTTCAATTCAACCATCCGATAAGTGAAAAGTCTTCTTTCCGGGTAGCGGAGTGAGTTTCGGTGCTATCCAACCGCCTGTCTTACCGAACTGTAGGGTCAGGATCAGAAATATTCACGAATTATATTTACATTTCAGGGCGTTAGATAAGAATTTATTCAATTTAACTCTCACGTGAAGTAACCTTATAAGTAAAGCTCGGAGACATGTAACTGTTTCAAATAATCATCAATAGTGACCAGAACCGACTACAGATTCAAATAACTAGCAGGAACCCGTTAAATACCCAACAGTGGGTGTCAGACTCAAGATTCTAAATAATTATTACCTATTAATTCGCGTTTTTTGACACCACTTTTGGGCACTAAAAATCTTATTCCTTGGATAATTTTTTATTTTTTTCATGCTGATTTGAAGGCCATAAGGCATTTGGAACCAGTCAAAAAAGTTTGTATATCTTTTACAGTTAGACGGGGTCTGGCTATATAAATTAAGACGCATGAAACTATCGGACCACGATGTATGGGGACTTGCCACCCATGGCAACATTAAACATATATCGACTCTGTTACATATATCCCCTCTCGCTTTATAGAATAAGATATTATGTACATTCTGCATTTAATTTATTTTTATGTTTTTGAGAGAGGCTGGCCTGGATTGCGCCACGAGAGGATAGCATGAGGTTGCTCTGCCTACCTCTGGGGTATGGCAACCTTGGGGGAGTTGCCGGAGAAAATCAAAGTGAATTAGTGGAGGATGGTAGCAAGTGTATATGGAGGGGATGAGTCATGAAGGGACCTTAAGTGGCCAGCGGGGTGTGGAAAAGAAAGATGACAAGACAAAATTGTGAGACAAGCCTCCTCATCGTTCGCCCGACATAGGACAAAGCACGGTTACTTGATTTTCGAATGAGTGGAGGTGTTTGTTTGAATGCATGTCGTATTCAAACGAGATGACATATTGTGGCCAAGCCGATACATTTTTACATTATGAGATTAAGAGGATTGAGTTTCACATCAGACCTATCCTGCCCCATGAAACGGAACTTAAATCACCACATATCTAGACTATGGTTTGTTATTCTTTATTTAAAAATTAACTGATACTGATAGTTCAAAATCTTAATTTGAATCAAAGCGCGCGATAATGTACCTTTAGATTCCGCAAATTGAGAGGCATATTAAAATGATATAATGGGATTAAGGGCTGACAAATATTGAGCAGTGAGATAACGTGCCAGTGAGAAAAACAAAATTAAACTTATTTTAAACGCAATATTTAAGAAACAGTTAACTTAATTAACTTACTAAATAACCTACCTGTCGGAACTGTTTCATCAGCTTCATCCCACTTCTCATACCAGTAAAACTGAAGTCGTGAGGCAAAGAACTTCTCTTGTTCCGCCAGTCTACCCGCATTTGTACACCTGAGGGGCATGTTTTTCTACACACAAGAACAATTTAAACTTTTTCAACTTTATTCATCCAAATAATGAAAATTTAAATAATATCCAGGTTTTCGGCTCAGTGTATTCACATTTTTGTAATATTCTCCACGTAAAACTGATGTTTCCAGAATATGGCATTAATAAATAACCTTGTCCTAATGAATTAGATGTTGTAACTTGTAGACCTTTACTACATTTTATGCTTGAGTAAAAGATACGAAAGTCGTGACGAGTCAGATCTGGTTACTCCAATCAACAAATTGACTACAAACCACAACACACCAAAATCCGATACAACAAAGCTCCAAATCTTATTATGTGGCAGCTCTTCCCCGAATTTAAATCTGAATATTGAATAGCATCTATCTCTAAACGCAACGCAATTTGGCGAGCGCGCTCAACACACACACACATTAGTGGGTGTGAAACATGAGAGCGGATGGGGGGGGGGGGGCTATCTATACCCAATATTAATGGAGAGAGTTGGGGCGGAAGGGTGAGGATTCACGTTTATTTCGGGAATCTCTATATAAAAGTGGGGATTATGGGTGTTAAAATAGGGGGGGGGGGGTGGGGGGGGTGAAGGGGGGGGGACACTAAAACTGTGAGCTGGAGGGGGGGGGGGGGTGGGGGAGGGAGGGTGGGGGGGGGGGGGGGGTATGTAATGGGAGGGAGCGTGGGGCGTTTAATAATTCTAATCTCTCTAGACACACATGGATTTATGAGTAGATAGTAAAATTACACACACATCTTCAAGCGAGTACACACAGAAACATAGCGTGGGCGAGGAGGTGATCTATGAGGGTAGATTATGTTGATATAATACACTGTGAGAGAAATTGTGTAGTTCTATATATCTATTTGAACACACAGGGGGGGGACACACAATTATAGGGTGGAGTGGATGTGTCTCAATTATAGGTGGGGGTGGGAGGAGAGGGGAGTATAAATGAGAGTGTATGGTATGAGTGAGAGGTGGGTGGGGGGATGAGTGTGGTAATAATATGAGACATTTAAGGCGAATAGTTTTACACACACACATAGTGATGGTTGTGAGTAGGGGTGTGGTAGGGGTTTAATGAGGGGAGTGATGATTATGATTTGTTAAAGGAGAGAGGTATCTCTATATGTTAAGGTTTTACAGAGAATAGAGTAGGGGAGGTGGTTGTTAGGTTGGTATTTTTGTGTGGGGGTGAGGGGTATATAGGTATAGTGGGTTGGAGTGGGGTATGTTGGTGGTGTGTAGGGAGTGTGGGGAGTTTTTATGTTGATCAGGAGTATTGGGTGGGTGGTGGGGAGATGGTGAGGTGTCTTGTGTGTTGTGGTTGGTTGGAGAGAGTTGTATGTGAGTTTGTTTTGGTAGAGTTGGATTGGAGGTTGGTTATTTTGGGAAAAGATTTAATAATATGATTGGAAAGTAATGTTGGGGTAGGGTAATGGTTGAGGGGTGTTTTGGTAAACAAGACTTGTCATACGATCTTAAAAGATTCTCAAAATAATACAGGTATGCCGTGGCCGTATGACTAATGGTGTTCAGTGTTGGTGAAAAAAACCCAAAATATTTTTGCCTCATTTTTTCCGTCTCATTGATACTTATTCAAAGGTAAACCAATTAAAAATTACATACATTACATTTTTGATTTTTGATAAGGCTGAATCACACAAAACTTTTAATACTTGAAAATTAAATGTTACTTTCAATTTCAGAATCCACCACCCTTGGATTTCGACCTAGAAGATGACGACAAACTCTTCCTTAAGTTTGGAGACAGATTGGCAAAGTGAACGTTTTACCGTTGTTGTTACTTTTAGACACTAGCGAAAAGATCTCAAGATGCAAGACTTTTCCAAGCTAAACTCTTAAAAAAGGAGCCGTTCAAAAGCACAACGTTCTGGAAAGATCTTTGGCTCTGGGTACAGACCTGGAAAACCTGAGATAATGTTCTTTGTTTCGGACATGAGAATTATTCCTCTGCTAAAAGATCTGATGAAAAAGGTTAAGATGTATTGGGAACACGAGGAACTTTTGGGCAGAGTCCTGAAATTGATAAATGAACTATATTTCATGACACACTCTGAGGTACTTGTGGACAATATTGACATCAGCGTTTCTTTCAACTGTATCTGTTTTACTCAGTCTCCTGTTCAAAAAATGTCCATCGTCAATGGATCTTCGTATGAAAAGTCTTTCTCTTCCTTCCTGTGGTTGGAAGTGATATCTGATATGGCTGGTTGTTATAAGTGCAAGCAAGATTTGCAGCCCATTGTCAAAAATTTGTGCGCCAAACCTTTCCCATAACCAGTAAATGTGGTGGGTCAATTGAGCACAAATTATAGGCTTGCTGAAGAGATGATCAGTGATCGATTCTTTGATTCGTTATTGATGGCTGTAGGGGACATTGCTCGCTAGTTCAAACCGCAAGAATGACCTTAGCCTTGCTATTGAATCGGACATTATGGCTAAATTATTACAGCTTGTCGGGAATCGTTCGAAGGAAAGTGATTTTCAAGAAAATCAAACGAGTACGATTATCTCGTTGCAGTAATTGAAAGATACATTTTAATACTACACAGACATCCATCCAGTCTGTCATCTGATAATAGAGTTGCAGTAATGCCACTTATTGCTTCACTCATCAGCACCGAATGTCTTTACATGTGCGACAAGGTATTCTTTATTGACATGATAGTGGATCATTGCATTTGTGTTGTTGTGGATATCGCAGATGCAGAAGAATGGTTCTGAACGGTTTGTGGATGCGCTCTTGGACCCAGACCACAACGTTTTGAAAGCAATGATCGAGTATGCAATGAGTCAGAACTTTCCACAGAAACTGGAATTTGTAGCTATGAGGATACACATAATTGTTGCCCTCTGCAGTGGTAAATTGCCCAAGTTGACCCAACACCTCAAACCTCTACTTTCTATATGCTTGAATCACGTGGTGAAACCAAATGAGATAAATCGACTGCGGCAAAAAAGCGGGTACGTACGGTAACCAGGTAAGAGAAGAAAACTAGAGAGATTTGATAAATGCTATAATCTCAGCACTGCAACGATGGAAATTTACAAATGTATTGTCTTGGGCGGGTACAATCAATGAACTGAAAAACTGGAGACGGAATTCAAAATACTGGAAACTTTTTTCAAAGCTATCTCCATGAGCAAAAGGTCTGAAATCTTAGTTATTTCATTTGAGATTATCTCAGAAATTTTGGAAGGCTCATCACTTTGACTTCATATCATCACAACAGCTGGTGGAGCATATGCCTCTGATTTGGAGGAAAATGAAAGTATCACAAACTGAACTTGTAGATCCTGTCGCTAAAATCACGTACAGACTGGCACTATTCCTCCCCAGCCTCCACTACCCTCTTAACTTCACTGAGTGGGAACATACCCTGGTTCAACACGCAAAATCAATCTTGCAGATGAAACCCATTTCTCCAGGATTTTTCCGACTCGCATGGGAAATGATAAGGTCAGGTAATCGTGAACAGCTTTTCGACGAACTTCTTACATTGGCTTCTGATCGAACAGTTGGTTATGCTGCACCGGGGAAATCTGATCTCGCAAAAATATTCAGGCTTATTTCGGAGCTTCTTATTGGGTATTTGGAGAATGATCCACCCTTTAATTAATACAAGATACTTAACCACATTTGACACACTGCATGGTGGAGATTGCTAGATCTAGCACACTTGATGAGGAATTGTATGTCCTGGGAAGATATGGTCCTCTCCGGCCATGTGGCTCCTTGAGAAACAGAATGACGAGAAGATTGTGGCCAACGTTAAAGAGTTTATCAACATTTTACACTGATAAGGGTTAAGAACAGTAACATTAGTTTCTTGTTGCATTTAACTTGGTTGTTTTTATAACCCCCGCGATTGAGCGTTACCCAATAAATTATCCAATTAGTATTATTTACTAATATTTAATGTTATGACATAATATTCGGCGTGAATGCTGGATGATGTATTATATAGTTTTTATAATTGTTTACAAAACCCGTTTTTAACTTTGATGTTTTGTTAAGGGAGCATTGGTTGTGTTTTTACAAATAGATTTATAAATTTTATCATTGAATTTTCAAATTAATATTATATTCGTAATTGTCGGTGTAAATGCTATAGTTTATTTATTAGAGCTAAAAGAAAAACTATAATAGCTTGAGGATCTTTATTATTGTTTGCAAAACCTCATTGTACCATTTAATTTGTATTATTTAGCAATGTTGACTCATATCATATATATGCGAAATTTCTATTGAAATTCGTTATTCAATTTGCAAATGTATTGAACCTACAAAATTACTTATAACATCATTTACATTGTATATGCTTCTTTTAAATTAACGATAATGAGGTTCGTTTTAATGTCGTCAGGTGATTAATATTACCTGAGTCACTAATGTACAGTTTAATCTGACCAACTGTGTATTAACTTAAGTTTGTGTAAACAATGCTAATATCTCTTATTTCATTTGAAGTACCCGTCATACTTCGTGAGCTATCAATTTAAAAATAATTGTCTTATACAAAACGACATTACCAAATTCTAAACACAAGGAAATACTTTTGTGTTTGATTTAATAAGCTTCACCATTCTCCAACAGCCTTGCTATATATCGTCATCTTCTGGTGTTCGTATTAGCGCTCGATTTTAAAACTATATTTGGCAGGGCAGCTGGTTAGCTTGCTAACTACGCAACCCTTTCCAGGAAAATCATAACTAGGAAAGTGTATACTGTAAAACACAGGTATTAGTTGAGCACTAACAAGAAAAATTGATCGCTGGAATTTTAAATGGTTTTGTTATGTAACCAACAGGGAACTTGGTAATGTCGAGTAGATTTAATACGTCCAGAAGTTTTTAAAAAAAATACCAATCTAGACTTAATTGAATTAGTAGTGAGGACATAGTGAGGACAACTTAAGTTTTAATACTTTCAACACTACTATACTCCT